CCATGCAGATGGAGAGAAAGGGCGTCCAGGCGAGGGATTTAAGTGAGTGGATGAACAGAGAGGAATATAGGGGCGATGCATCTAGAGAAATGGTCTGTGCCACTGGTGATTGGTGATGCCACTCCATGAGCAAAAGGACACTGGAAATGGGCCGTATCTTGGGTTGAAAAATAGCGTTTCAGGTGCCTCTAAGTGCACAGGATGTGAGGGTTCACTTCCGGCGACCTCAGCTCTGAGCCCACATCCTAGTCCTGGATCTGAACTCAAACCCTCTCATTTCTTTTTTTTTTTTCACTGTTCAAGGTTTATTTGATGTTTTTGTTGGCATGACACTTGGATAGTTGGCTGTATTATTTGTATGTAGACTTTTCTTTTTACATTATAATCCAGTATACTCTTGATAAATTTAGTACACAAAATAAGATCCTTTAGAACACTTACACACAAGACATGCAATTTTCGATTTGCAATACATTGGCTCCCAGGATGTGAAGCTGGAAAAAAGTTAGACTAGGCACGTAGGGTAAAGGAACCAGAAGTTACATAATGCACAGTAAACACATGTCTAGTTTGAAGGGCAACGGTAGCGTGTGTGACATTGGCAGTGGTGGTGCCTTTGACGGGGTGGAACTATTTCACACTAACCAGTTTAGGACGAGATAAGTACCACCCAGCATCAGGATATAGCTGCAGGGTTTTGTGAACCATTCCTATTTCTAACATTAGGAAATTCATGTTTTTCCTAGGCTGTCTTAATATTACTGCTTTAGTACAGATCAGATAAAAAGGATAATATGCACAACCTCCAACTAAAATCCTGTTGTACCCTAGACAGTGAAGTGGCATGACATCAGAAGGCTTTAAAACTGCAGCTCTTTTTGGATTCCCCAAAGTGTATCTGCACTCTTCTTCAAACGGCCTCTTCCTCAGGTGCCAGAGTCACCTTCACAACAGCTGAGATGCCATTCTGTCCCAAGATGCAGGGAATACTAAGGAAGACGTCGTTGTCTTTTATTCCATAGAATAATCCCTTAATCATGGTGGAAATTGGATGCACCCGCCTAAGATTCTCCGTCATACTTTCTGCCAAATCTGCCACAGACAGTCCAATGGTGCAGGATGTGTAGCCTTTCAGCTTGATCACCTCGTAAGCACTCTCAGCCACCTGTCTGTGCACTTATTTCCACTGCTCCTTATCAGCATCAATGCCTACGTTAGGGCGCAGAGTCTTCAGGGAGACACCAGCAACATTCACTCCACTCCATACAGGCACACTAGAGTCTCCATGCTCCCCCAGGACCCACCCCTGACAGCTTAATTGGGTGCACTCCCAGCCTTTCCCCCATTAGGTAACGGGACCGGGCTGAATCCAGATTGCAACCACTTCCAATAACACGGTTTTTGGGAAAGCCGCTTATCTTCCAAGCCACATAGGTCAAGATATCCACTGGGATTGGAAACAATAAGCAATTTGCAGTTGGGGCTGTATTTCACATTAGGAATGATGCATTTAAAGATGTTCACGTTTCGCTGGACCAAATTAAGACGGCTTTCTCCCTCTTGTTGACGTGCTCCAGCTGTGACAAGAACCAGCTTGGAGTTTGCAGTCCCATTATAGTCTTTGCTAGGGACAATCTTTGGTGTTCTTAGGAAAAGGCTGCCATGTTGGAGATCCATCATCTCTCCCTTCAATTTGTCTTCTATGACATCCACAAGAGCAAGTTCACCTGCCAAGTCCTTCGTTAAGATACTGATGGCACAGGCCATGCCAACAGCACCAACCCCAACGACCGTAACCTTATTCTGGGGGCTTTGTTCTTCCTTAAGATTAAAAATAAGCTGATCCTTGACAGTTGTCATCTTGGATTTAGAACCAAAAGGCATCAGGAGTGCACCGAGAGTGAGCGGGCGTCGGCGGCGCGCAGCGTTGGGTCCGGACTTGGCGGCAGCCGCCCCGGGACCCAACCCTCTCATTTCTTTGAAGGCATGTTTACTGAGAACCTCGTAGGTACCAGGCGGAGCAAGGGGCCAAGAAAGATCCAGAACCGCCCCTACTTAGCCTGGAGGAAAGGATCCACATTAAGCAGGTTATCACGTGCGCCTGTATTGCACCCCGACAAACTTGGTCCGCGATCGACCCCGGGCGGTCAGGAGGCGCCAGAGCCAGCGGGGTGGACGGAGGGAGGCGATCTGCGCCTGCGCGCCCGGCGCTTCCGCGGGAGCCGGCAGGGACGCGTCACCTCGCCGCGACCGCGCGTGGCGTCACTGGCCCGCGCAGCCAGGACTAGGCTTTGGGCGGCGCACGTGGGTGGCGGCGCGAAGGCCGAGCTCATGGCGAGCTCCGCGGGGCTGGCTCTGTGCGGGCAGGCGCTGGTGGTGCGCGGCGGCAGCCGGTTCCTGGCCGCCTCCACCGCGAGCAGGTGAGGGGTCTGGGCTTGGGGCCGGGAGCGCAGGCTGCGGGCGCGCGTCGGGGCCTGGAGACCCCGATGCCTGCGCCGCCGGGGCTGCGTCCGTGCTGGGGGGACCCCTGGGGGGACCCGCCACTGCCTTCCGACGCTCCGCCGCCGCCTGGGCCGGGCCGCGTGCCCGCGCCTTGGAGCATCTGCCCTCCGTGTCCTCTCAGGGGCCGCCCCCGGCGCGCCCCTCGCCGCCGGCCCAGGGCCCTGCCCGCTCCTTGGCCCGTCTCCCGCGCTCGGGGTCGGACATGGGGGCCGGGCGGGGCCCGGTCACGTGGGGCGACGTAGGCCGAGTTGGGGCCCGTGCGGGGTGTCCGTTACGCGGGCCAGACCCGCCCTGGGGCGTAGGGGGAAGGCGGTCCCTGGCCTTCCGGGTGAGGGGCTTCACCCTCGCGAGTTTGCTGGGGCTGACAGCTGCCGGCGCACCCCTTCGCCTCCGTCTGCTTGCAGTGGTGTCTGCCCCTCGTCCTCGTTTGCATCTGTCGACCCCGCCCTACGTGCCCTTCAGGCTTCTTGGTCTCACGCGACAATTCCTTACTCGGGGGTGCACCCCGAGCCTGCGGCTTGCACCCCCCTGGTGGCCCTTCCCACGGCGCTGCTTTTTTCCCTAATTTCACGCCCCTTATCGTTTCCCAGTGTGTACGCAGCGCCCGGGATATTTGAATCATTAAATGTTTGTCGCTCCAGTAGTCTTGACCTAGGAGCCTCATGGATGTTAGCCCGGGTCAGTTTCGGTCCCTTGTTAATTTCCCCACGGTTTTGATTCTCTCAGCGCGCCGGACACGTGCGCTCAGTGCTCTTTGTTCGGCGTGTGGTTTCAGAAATCCGATTTGATGTAAAGTTTGCATTTCACAAAAGCTGTCATCCCGGAGTATTTTGTTGTAGGTGCTCACGGTACCTAACACATGCCACAGGGAGACATCACCTGCTTGCTTCTGCTCTGCCTTTTGAGGAAATCTAGTGGCAGGCACCGTTTCCGGCTGGGAGGACTACTTCTCTTTCTACACCGCAGTGTACGGTGTGGAAAGAGTTTAAAGTACAGTCACAAAGGCTGGAAATTTGTACAAGATGCCTTCGCCATGCCAGACACTGGAGGTGGGTGGGATAAACTGAGGAAAGCTTAGGGGCTGATGGGAAAGGTGGGTGATTCTTTGTTGGTAAGTGCTTGGCTGCCATGGGAGCTTTTCTGGGTAGATGAGAGACATGTTTCTAAACAGGAGATGGCAGTTTTAAATTTGGGTACAAAAAATCCACTGAAAACAATATCAGAACACAATTTCTCTTAACAGGCATCTTTCATTGATGTTCTAGTGTCTGAAGGAATAATATATTACTTTCTATTGCGTTTTTGTCCTCATCGATTTTATTTAACTGATTTTTTTTGGGTACAGAGCCATGCCCGTGTGTATGGCAAATCTAAATAGGAGATTAAACAAATAAAGCTCCCTGACTGTTCCCGGAAATATTGTACCTAGACAATTTCTTGTCGGGGGTTAAGACTCTTAATTTACTGAGTATGCAAACATTTTTTGTTCCAGGAAAAAAAAAAAAGAAATGAGCATTTTTATTAACAAAGTGCTTCTCTAAAAATCTGTTGTTTTTCTTTAGTGATGATGACAACCTCTTCACATATGATTGCAGCTCTGCAGAAAAGAAGCCACAAGAAAATAAAGGGTGAGATGATGGGGAGACCTCTTCAGGGCCTGACCTGGGTTTGAATAATGGGACCTGATAGCCTAGGATGGAAATTGTTGCCTTGCCGCTGACTTCTTCATTTCTTTTTACCTTGCTCTGTGGACGAACCACGTACCACCTCAGGAAAGAAATGTGGAACTCACTTTCAAATTAGGAATTAGGAACATCAGGTCTTTTCTAAATACTTTTAATTAGTTTCTGTCTGAAACGGTTTTATTGGCACCTTCAAGTAATGCAATCAATCTTAAATGCACTAGGGGCAGTTGTATGAAATTAACTTTCACTAATTGAAAGGTAAGAGAAGCAGAGTGTGATGATTTTGTATGGTGGCTTTCTTTAGTAGAGCTGGTCTTGTGGCTCGGTTTATGTTTTTAAAATATGATTTAATCCCTACCTCTGGTCTTGGATTAGTTCATGTCCGTGGGGGAGTGGCCCGTGGGGTCTCTGAGGGGCCTTCCAGCTCAGCTCTGTGGATTCTGGTGTGTATGTTGAGAGATTTCTCTGTTTAGCTAGGTTTCCTCCTTAAAAATTAGAGCTGTTTTGAACCTCCCCAGTCTCCTTACTATGTTTTATATTTTGGCTCTTCGAACCTCATGTCATGTTCTGTTTCTTCTCACAGTATAAATGAACAAGGCTGGCCTGGAATCCTGCAGCCTTTAATTACTCTGGTAAGGCCTACCCATTCTCTCTTTCTCAGGGAGGACGGACAGCCCGTGGATAAGGGGAGTGACACGATTCTGGCGTCCACCTTCTCCAAGTCTGGCAGCTATTTTGCTTTAACCGATGACAGTAAGCGTCTGATTCTTTTCCGTACAAAACCATGGCAATGTCTGAGTGTCAGGTATGAAATGCTAACGTTGAATAATTACGATGTTGAACGCACATCTTACACTTGCATGCCAATAACAATAGTGACAGTAACAGTCAAGCAACTAACACACAGCGCCGGTTACGTGGTTACGTGCCCGGCACTGCTTTAGCGCTTTTCGTGTTTTAGCGCTTTCCGTGTGTGACCCGATTTAATCCTCATGGGGGGCCTGTCACCCTGTCACTGGCAGGGGCCTCGTTCTCTCCACACCCACTGGCCAGGAGTCCAGAAACCGATCCAGCCAGTCAGCTTGGAATGGTCGAACTGGTCCCCGAACCTGGTCAGCCTGGCTCAGGGTCGGTGCCCTGGCCTCTGCACCATCCTCCTTTCCAAACAGTGTCCCTCCAGCCTTGCGGTGGCAGAAATAAAAAGTCAGCACGCACCCTGGGAGTGTGGGGGTTTGTGGAAGTGAAGGCGCCTGTGCCACAGCCCTAACTCCGCCGGATTTTGTGTTAATGCGCTTATTTCTAAGCGTCTGAGAACCGATGGGAGCTCTGTGTGGCCCGGGGAGGACGGCGGTAACGCAGCAGGAACGCAGGTCACGGGGCCTCGGCGGCCCCTCTTCCCCACCGAAGTCCTGGAGCCGCTCCTCTGCCTGACTCTTCCTGGCCTGACCTCCGCCTCCTCCTGAAGGGAGATTTGCAGCGCCTTGTCCCGAGAGCTCCCTTGCTTCCCCACCGCCCCGTTTAGGCGAGGAGGTGGGTGCTGCTGACACAGGCGCCCGGCAGATGTCAGTGTCTGTCGGCTCTGACAGTCTCCTACGTGCAAGTTCTCTGTTTCCTTAAGTGGGCGATGGCTGGAATTATTCCAACTCTGCTGTGATACTGATGGAAACACCCACACAGGGCGGAGTCAGGCCTATCCCCTCATTCTCGCCCCCCCCCTGAGGCTGCAAGGTTTAACTGTCCCTGATAAGCAGAGACTAACGCGTGCAGGTGATGATGTTTGAACTTCTAAGCAACCAAGGTTAAGGAATTCCCCTTTTAGCTGGCTCACATCTGTATTGGGGACAGCTACGCTCTTCAGAAATTTATTTCATCTTGTTTCCTAAGAGGAGTAAAAAGCCAAATTCCCGGTGGCATCAAAAGCAAGGAATACCCACTCTGCCCTGCCTGTCCCAGTCAGCTTAAAAAAAGTCCAGTAACATTATTTTTATCTTATGTGTGTTTTTAAATATCAGATAGGCAATAGATGCCCTGGATTTAAAAGCTTAAAGGACAAACAAATGAAAAGGATATGCAGTGAAGTGTAAATCTCCTTCCACCCTTCCCAAAAGGCAGTGAGGTTCCCCAGGAGAGTGATTTAATCGTGTGTTGCCACGCGTGCAGGTTATAATTGATGACGAGTTGCTTCTAATAGCCGATGACTGTGAATTCACATCATCCTCACCTCGAAAGGCCTGTTAGGCAGCATCTTTTTGCTAGAATAGCCTGAACATTAGCAGATATTTAGAACATAGAAGATGTTGAGTGCTTTCCGGATTTGGGGTCTTGAGGGTTCTAACCCTGAGCTGCTCCCACAGGGATCCTTGCAGTTGGCCTTGGCTTTGAGTTGCTTCCACAACTTGTGGGAATGAGGAAGGGATATGAGTACAGGAGGCAAGCTGGTGACAGCAGTGACAGATGGTAGCCGTCGTAGTCTGTTCGGGCCTCCATAATGAACTCCACAGCGTAAAACACAGATACTCTGTTCAGTTCTGGAGCTGGGAGTCAGAGCAAGTCGTCGGCAGGGCTGGTTTGTCTGGAGGCCTCTCTCCTTGGCTTGTAGATGGCTGTCCTGTTGCTGCCGTTCATATAATTGTCCCTCCGTGCTGTGCCCCTGGTGTCTCTTTGTGCCCCCAGATTTCCTCCTATAAGGACAGCAGTCATGCTGCATTAGGGCCAGACAGCCTCACTGAACCATAAGCACCTCTGTCAAGGCCGTCTTTCCAAATACAGCCACATCCTGAGGTATGGGGAGGGGCTGGCTTCCAGCAGAGCAATTTTGGGGCCATAGTTTGGTCCATAAGCGTTACTCTTACCTTTGTGACACTTGCTGCAGAGCTCGTCTATGGAGTTTCCATAGCTACTATCGGATTCTTAAAAGGGGAGGTGTCCCCAACAGATGGAAGGAAATCAAATGATTTAAAGGAATCTGGTGGGAGTTCTTTTGCTCAAGTAAAGGCTGTCTGGCCAGCCACATGCTCCTGGAATGTGCACGTGCCCAGGAGCCACCAGACACCTGGTGGAAATGCAGACTAGGGGCGGGGCTGGAGCCTGCTCACCAGCTCCCAGGCGATGGCAGCCTCGGTGTGGACACCCGCACGATGCGCTAGAGCTCAGGTTGCCCCCCTGCAGGATGTCGTGGATCCGAAGGTCACCGTCCAGGTTGGCGGGGGAACTCGGGCAGTAAGCAGAGGACACCTGGTGGCGTCCGGGACTGAAGGGTGTGTCGGAGGCCATTTGATAGAAACGTCGGAAGTGTCTGCAGCTCCGTGGTGTGGCCTCAGTCGTCTCTTAGCTGTCGCTGGCGAGGGACATCTTTTGCTTGCGTTTCACTTGTTTTGCTATTTTCAAAAGTGCTTCAGTGAATTGTCATATAGATATAATAAATCTCACTTATCTCTAGAAATCCCCAAATGAGTTGCTAGGTCAAAAGTAAGCGCCCTGTAACCTAGGTGGAGAATCCCAGCTGCCTTCTGAGGGGCTCGCTCTCTGCCTCCCTCTTTCCCGCTGGACAGGACAGGGTGGTGTCACACCTGAGGGCTTTCGAGTCTGTTAGAAGGAAGTTGGTGTCCTGTATACTTCGCGACAAGCGAGGGCGAGTGTCTTCAGAACCGTTCGTCTTGTGAGCTGGCTTCTCAGAGGCGGGCTTTGCTTTCCCGTGCTGGGTCCCTTTCCCGTCTGGTTATGATGAGGGAACTCGGGCTCCTCCATCTGTTGTAGGTGAGCCCATCTACACAGCTTTCCCACGGCTTTGGCCCTTCAGTAAGTCGCACATGTGTAGAGAGAGCCGCTCAGGGCCATGGAGACTAGGTGAGGCTTGTCCTGGGCACTCGCCTCACTGGCAGCTTTGCAAAGGCCTCTGGCGACCGGGTAGGGCCTGACCTACTCCCACGGTGTCTGCGGGATGGTCGATGAAATCAGGGGAATTGTGGGCAGGCCGTTGTCCCCCAGAGTACAGTGTATCCTGTGGTAACTTACAGCTCTTTTCAGGCTCTGCTCCCTTACCTCGGCTGCTTCAAAACTTCACTTTGGAGGGTTTGGAGGAAAAGCTGAGATGGAAATTGGGGCAGCAATGATTCTTTTTAAGGTAACAGTTCAGAATGACAAAGGGCAGAGAGCCTGTGACCTGAGCAGGTCAGAGAGGCTTCAGGCCCAGAACCAAGGCTGAAAAACCGAGGTTTTCTGAACCAAAAATGAGGATACTGGGGTGAAGTGGTGTTTTCTATGTTGATGTATGGATTTATTAATGAGAAATCTTGCACACAGAGTCGCACCATTTCATAAAATGCCTGTGTTAAAATAATAAACGCCTCTGGAAAAGGCAGAGCCCCTGGAAACCAGGCCTGGGTTTGCTCTCCCTGCAAGGCTCTGGCGATGGGGAGTCGCTGCTGGAATGCGCGGTGTGGGGAGCTTGGTGGCAGGGCCTGGGGGCAGCGAGGCCCCCGCACGCTCAGCCTCATTGAACAATGGGGCTCTCTGGAGGTGGGCGTGGGGGCACCAGCTGGGGCGCGCTTCAGGGCTCACCTCAGGGTGCTCCTGTCACTGGCGGAGGGGAGGGGCAGGCCGGCCCTGGGGGCCTGAGGACCCACTGGGCTGTGAACCCAGTGATTCTGTGGAGGGGGAGGAGGGTGCTGAGACCCCGCAGAGGCTGAAGATTGGTGGGGCCCCTGCCTTTGCCCCTGGGTGGCATGGCTGCCCGCTGCCTGATGACCTGGCCCTCTTCTGCAACCTGTGTCTCTAGACCCTGACCCCAAACCCGCTCCGTACTGAACTCCATCCTAGAATCATCGCCAGGCCGGATTTAGCCTGGGCAGCTGAAAGCCCCCAGCTGGCACAGGACAAAGGGACAAGATATGAGTGCCATTTCTGTGCCGAGCTGCGTGGCAGGCGTGCCGATGGGGTTGGGGGTGGGCTAGCTCCTTGGAATCCAAGCCCAGTGCTCCTGGAAGACTGTCTTGGCGGCTCCCGCAGGGTGCTGTGGCCGTGCTGTCGCCACTGCTTCATTAGCCCGTTTGAGTGTGTGCTGTGTCGGGCGCCCCACAGGCCGCTGTTGGAAGTGGTGCCGAGGAATTCTGTGAGCCTTGCCCCAGCCCGATGGTCTCTGGCCATTGCGTTCTCCGTGTTTACGCCCTGTGCCTCCCTCTGCAGCTCCACGGGCTCGGCGTGGAGGAGGTCCAGCCTGCGGCCTGCTGGCTGATGGCTAGGAGGCCTCCTCCCTGGCCCCTTCTGTGCTTGAGTCCCTTTGCTCCCAAGAAGCGCAGGGCCTCGTTTGGTCCTCGTGTGGGGGATGTAATTCCTATAAGCTTTAGCTTCATATCAAGCTAACATCTGGAGCTCCAGCTGCCCTGAGCTGGGCGCCGTCTGCACTGACATTAGCTCTTTGTTGGGAAAGTGGGTCCACTGTCACCCCCTTGGGGGACGGGAAAGCAGGGACTACCGTCTTGTGTGAGGACGAGTAAGAGTAGATAAGCGGGGACGTCTGTGTGTGAGGTGATGGCACAGCTCATGTCTGATACAAACCGAAAGCCCAGGCACCTGCCTGTGAGAGCAGCCCTGCCGCCTGGAAGAGATCCCAGTGGAACAGGAGGCGGCAGTGTAAATGCTGTCCCCGGGGGGTCGGCGTGGCCAAGGGCCTGTGTCAGCGCACCCCAGGCGTGCGCCGGGCTTTGTTTCTTGCTCTGAACCAGCTGCAGATGTGACACACCTGTGAGTCCGGATTAAGGACTTGAACTTGTGAGCCTGCCAGTTTAGTACAGACTGAGCTGGAACTCAGCCCCTTGGTGGGCCTGACTCCAGAGTGGCCCGACAGAGGAGGCCGTATAGCTGTGTCCCCGTGGTGTGTCTCACCCTGGCTCTCGGTATCGGGGACCCCCGTTTCGGGTGTCGTGCATGAGCTGTGTGTGGGGTTCCTGGCCCAGCTCGGCACAGCCAGGCGTGGGTTGTCCCAGTGGGCATGGGTGCAGCGTGGATTCGCAGGTCCTGGGTGGGACGCTGCAGGCGACCCCGGGGTGGGGGTACCTGTGCCTGTGTGCTTTATGCGGCTGGCTGTCGTCACCCCAGAGGTGCCGTGGAGGTGCCGGTGCCAGGAGCAGCTCCCTTGACATGTTATCATATAGTGAGGTTGAGACGATTTCATACGGCACGTCTAGACACCCACCACCCAGAGCCTGCCATGAGGAGCAGTTTCTAAAGAGAAAAGTATTGTGAAAGGGAAGTCTGTCTACAGCACTGGCTTTGTTTATGTCCTCATTGCTTTGGTAACTGGAGGGAGGCGATGGCGGAGGGGATGCTGTCCCCACAACGCACGGCTTGCGGGGGTCGCAGGTCCCTGTGCCAGCCAACCGTGGCGTCTCTCCGCCTCCTAGGACGGTGGTGAGGAGGTGCACGGCCCTGACGTTCACAGCCTCCGAGGAGAAGGTCTTGGTGGCAGACAAGTCTGGGGACGTTTACTCCTTTTCGGTGCTCGAGCCCCATGGATGCGGCAAGCTTGAACTTGGGCACCTGTCCATGTTGCTGGATGTGGTACGTCTGGAGTGCTTAGCTCTGCTCGGGGGGGCTCAGGTGGGGCGGGGGGGGTATACGTGAGGGTCTGGGTGGGTGTGGGTTCTCGGGTAGCAGGTCTGTGAACACGACAGATGGCATTTGGAACTCAACAGCAGGACGAGTTAGGAGGGGGCTGGGTGGTTCCAGACTGGAGGGTCCGCCCAGGTCTGGGTGACGAGGTGGAGGGGTGTGGGAGCAGCAGGCACAGTCGCACGGCCTGAGTTCATCCTTCCTGCATTGTGGGAATCACCTCGGTGGCCCCCCACCCCCCGAGCCAGGAGCTGTCCTACCAGAGGCACCGAGAGGCCCAGTGAAGGCTGGGCTGCAGCCAGTGGCTGCTGGAGTTGGCGTGGGTCCCCTCAGGACACTTAGGAACAAGAGGAGAAAGACAGGTCACCAGGACTTGGTGACTGGCCAGACGAGGGAACATGGGAAATAGGGAGAGGAAGGGGACCGGGGTTGGAGGCGGGAGGAGTGGGTGGCAGGCAGGGAGCGTGTAGGAGACGCGGCAGCTCTGGGGATGAGGCGTGGGGGCTGCAGATGAGGACTGCAGGGCTCGGGGAGCGGGAGCAACCTGCTGTGTCTCATCCCTGGCGCACAGGCCGTGAGTCCGGACGACCGCTTTGTCCTCACCGCCGACAGGGACGAGAAGATCCGGGTGAGCTGGGCCGTGGCGCCACACAGCATCGAGTCCTTCTGCCTGGGGCACACCGAGTGAGTCTCCCGCCCGCCCGCCCTCCGGCCTCCCAGGGAGGAAGTTCAGGTTTAAAGCACAGGGGTGGCCCCTTCAGCTGGGAAGCTGGCGCCCGCGTGACCCTGGGCCTCGGGGAGTGGGGACCGTCATGTGTGCAGCTGCCCTTCAAGGCCGGGGCTCACCGCTGGCTGGCCCATTGCATGTAGCCTTCAGAACCTCCCTCCGCGTGCTGGGGACAGTTTCCTCGTTGGCACCGAGGACGGCGCTGGTTGTCTCCCTGCAGGAGCCCACAGCTGAGAGGCCTGTCCGCCTCCATCCACGGTGGCCGGGGGCTTGTTCTGGAATACCCCCCTTTCCTATTGTAGACACCCGGCAGTGCCTGGCAGTGGCCAGTGGTCACTAGCGGGTGTGCTGAGGACGAGGAACATACTTGAGTACTTTCATCTGCCCGAGAATGAAATAGCCCCCGGACGCAGGCAGCTGGCACTTGCTCTGTGACCCCTGGCTCCTGTGCGGAGCTCTCAGCAGCTGGGGTTTGAAGATCTGGAGGGAGGCGTTTCCAAGGAATACCCGCTGTCAGGCAGAAGCCTGGTGCCATGTGCACAGAGGAAAGCACTTTGAGTGGCTGAAATGTCTTCAGATTGTTATTTGAGGCCTTGGAAGACATTGCAGGGATTGTATTGAATTCTGGAATCGGTTCTGTTTCCTTATTTTGAATGGAACATAAAAATTGGCCTTTAGGAAGGTTGACGGTCACTCGGTTTGTACCTGTGACAACTTGTGGCTTTCTTCAGTTCTCTGGTAATCTAGCACCTGCAAGCCCTCGCCCTCAGCCCGTGCACTGTCCGGCTGAGGTCTTTATGCTCCGGATCCCGCCTGGCACACTGCTGTCTCGGGGCCTTTGCATGTGCTGTTTCTGCTGACGGGCACTTCCCCACAGGACCCCTCAGCTCTGGGCATCCCCTCGCTCCCTCAGCTCGCTGCCACCGGCCTTCTCAGGAAGGCCTCCCCCCTTCCCCAGCCCCACCCTCAGAGGAGCGCCCCGCCTCCGTCCCCTCCGTGTGTGCTTTTCTTCAGCTCGCAGCTGGTCAGTCTGAAGTGAAGCCCGCCCTTAGTGTAAAACATCCGTCAGAGACGTAGAATGCAAAAGGATGTAAAAATGGCTCATTGTTACACTGATTGCAGGTTGAAACGATAATATCTTGGGTATATTGAGTTCAGTAGAAACATAGTACAGAAGTTATTAATAATTTCAGCCGTCTGTCCAGTTTTGTGACGTGGTCACTAGTAGCAAGTCTGAGCGGACGTGGCGCTGAGCTTCCGCCGGTGGCACCGCCACCCCGCGTCCCGGGCTGTGCCTGGCGCGTAGCTGGTGCTCGGGTGTTTCAGCGAGTGAGCGGTGAGTCATCAGCGGCTTCTGAGAATCTCTAAAGCCTGGTTTCCGCTTCCTTCCTTCCTGAGAGTCCGAGGTGACAGCCCAGTGGCATCCATCCTGTAGCAGGGGCTTCCCCCTTTCTGCTCCTGAGATCAGAGCCCTGAGCGTCCTCAGGGAGGCGGCCTGGTGGGGGCTGCGGCCAGGACGGGGTCCCGGGAGCCTGCGCGTTAGTGATCCGACCGCGTCCCTCTCTCCGGGTGGGGGCTGAGTGACGAGTCCCGACCCGAGCCGGGTGCTGGGACAGGTGGTGGCTCGGGCTGCCTGGGGCTGAGGGACAGCAGGGATCGTTCTGGCTGCTGGGCAGTGCTGCCGCTCTCCTCCGTCCCCCACTGCCCTCCGTGTCATCACCGACCTTCAGTGAGGGCCTCCCGGAGGCTCGGAAGGGCACAGACACTTGTGGATCTTCCCAGCAGGCGTGGCTGGGGAGCACATCTGGACCTAGGGGCCGCGCTTGATTGGAGGCTGATGTGTTGTTGAGCCCCGAGCATGGCTGAGGACACCCCAGTGCCATGTGTTACTGGGTTTCGTGTCTGTCGGAGGTGGCGTCTGGGGCCCCGACTCACTCAGCTCCTCCTGTGCTGCAGGTTTGTGAGCCGCATCCTCGTGGTGCCCGACCACCCTGAGTTGCTTCTGTCCTCGTCCGGGGTAAGTGTGGCTCCCCATGCGCCCCTCCAGGTCCCTCAGCGGGGACGGAGCGGGAGCCAGGTATGGGTGGGTCCCCCGCAAAGAGCTTGTCTTGTTCTCAGTTGTGGTTCAGAAGTCAGCGTGTCCCCTTATACCAGCAGTCCTCCACTAGATGGTGCTTGTCGTTTGCTGAACTGTGTGTGTGTGTGTGTGTGTGTGTGTGTGTATAGCTAGAGCAAGTGTGTAAGTGTGTAGGGAGTTCGTTCTGAGGGCTGTCATTACATCGGTAATCACTTCATCATCTCAATTAAAGCAGTTGACAAGACACCCTTCCTGAGTCCTAGACGGACCTGGGTTCCATCCCCACTGCTGCTGGTGTGCTCAGCAGCCCCATGTGTTTGCCCTGTGCGAATGCGCGATCACCGGTGTGCATGTGTGTGCATGTGTATATGTTCATGTGCATGCATATGCATGTGTGTGCACACATTTGTGCGTGTGTGTGTGTGCATACTTGGCCTGAATGCAGCAGATGTCTGACCTGGTGGTGACATCAGGTTGTCTCATACCCTTTGCCCATTCTGCCGTGTTGGGGGTCACCCATTTTTCTTAATGATTTGCATGAGTTCTTTAGAGCAGAGAGCTGCTGGTTGGGGAAGGTGCCCTGGCTGAGTTCCTGTCCCCATGACCTGGTGGAAGCCTGGATCCTGGGGCAGGGGTCCTGTGTTTCCTGAGAGGTGTGCTGACCGGTCCCTGTGTGCAGGACTGCACCCTGAGGCTCTGGGAATACAGACACGGCCGAGAGCTGCACTGCTGCCACCTGCCCAGCCTGCAGGAGCCGGCGGAGCCCTGGGGCGACAAGGTAACCCCGAGTTTGTGGGGAGGCAGGGCTCCTGGGATCCTGTGGGGAAAACGGTATTACATCGGAAATGTTTCTTTGCTATTGGTGCAGACTTTTTTTTAGCTTGGGGGAAATTGTGTATTTCAGATTCTGAGGGCACCTAGTTAGGTAAGGGGGAAATAATTTATATATCACAACATTTGCATTTGAACAACTAATTTACAGAAAGGTCTCTAATCTGCTTAGAAGTGGAAAAACCAGTGGAGCTGGAGCCAGGAGCTTCGCTGTGGGTTTATCAGCCGGGCAGCGGGCTGGGCACCCACCCAGCATCCTCTGTTGTCCGTCAGGGATTAATCTCATGACCCCCCAGGTCAGGTCACTTGGGCCACACTTGGGGACTGTCATCTTGCAGCGTTTGCTCTCAGTTGGAGCAGAATGGTCCTGCATCGGGTCCCTGGCGTGCTGTTAGCTGCTGCTTTTCGTTTCAGAGGTTTGCTGCATCCAGGATCGCTTACTGGGGCCGGGAGGGCTGCGTGGCGCTGCTGTGTGACTGGTAAGCATACTGCTTGGTCCCCGCAGCCTGGGGGGCGGGGGGGAGAGGCTGTTCCATTGGCCCCATGGTCTGTCGTCTAAACCGGGAGGCTTTAGGCGGTGCTGTTGGGGTTTGCTTTCCGGGGCTGCTGTGGCGTGTGGGTGTGGGCTCCTTTACACTGGCGTTCTTTTGTATGCCATTTAAATCCACCTGTTTAAGAGACCACATGGCCTCCAACTGGCCTTCTGTGTGTCATCAAATCCCACCTAAGGGCTGATTGTGGCAGAATCTGCCTCAGTCGGTGCCACCCAAGGCCGGTGGTTGACGGGATGGACTTAGGTCGCGTGCACCACACGGCTGTCCCTCCCGAGCTCCTTGCGTGTGCTCACTTGTCCTTGTGACCAGTCTCAGGAGGGCGCCATAGTTTGTCTTAGAAACAGGACGCAGGCTCAGGGAGGGTGAGAGTGCTGTCTGCTGCCCCGCACGCCGGTGGGACGGCCAGCTCTCTGCACCCTTCCCGTTTGTCCTGTGTGGCCTGTCTTTGCTGCATAACCATCTCCCCAGAGTTTAGTGACGCGACCACTCCGGATCTCAGCCTGAGGCTCAGGGAGCCGGAGCCGCTCGGCCGGGTGCTCCTGGCTGGGTCTCCCGTGCGGTTACAGCCAACATGCTGGCGAGGGCCGCATCTGTTGCTCGGGGCCTGCCGGGGCTGGGCGGTGCCCTGGGCCTGTGGGGGTGGTAACGAGCCCCCTCTCTTTCTCCCTGGGAAGTATTCCCATGGTCTACATCTTCCAGCTCGATGCCCCCGGACAGCGGCTAGTGTACAAGCAGCAGCTGTCCTTCCAGCACAGAGTGTGGGACATTGCGTTCGAGGAGACCCAGGGGCTGTGGGTGCTGCAGGGCTGCCGGGAAGCCCCCCTCGTGCTCTGCAGGCCCGAGGATGGCCAGTGGCAGGTGAGACGTGCTGGCCCTGAGCCTGGGGTGGGCGTGGGCAACGCTGTCAGCCCTTTCAGCTTGATCACGTGTTGGTGCCAGAGGTGTGTCCCGGGGGGAGGGGGAGGTGGCCATAGGGCTTGTGACCTGGGAGGAGGAGCTGGGGTGCCTGGCCCGATGATCCAGTGTCATGAAGCCTGCAGTGGGCTGTTGGGGGATCGCCATCGTTGGCATGTTTTCTCCATGACTGTCCCTGTCACCTTGGTTTTTGAGCAGAAAAGTTGACACTTGGCGTGCACCCCTAACCTTTGCAGGCTTAGCATGGCCTACCTGGGGCCGCGGTCCCATGGTCAGGACCTCCAGGCGCGCTGGAAGGTGTGTGGGCTGTGAGCGAACTCCATACCTGCTCTGAGTCGGCTCGCCCGCCTGTAAAGTGGGGTTGGCATCCCCTTCCTGTCCCGGGGGACAGCCGTGGGGAGGGCCCACATGCAGCACGCCAAAGCCCTTTGCAGACTGTCCTGTCCTTTACAGACACTCACCTGACTTGAGTGCTCTGGAGACGCCCCTGAACCTTTCAGTATTTTTATCTGAAAAGTGGCAATGAAGGCCACCAGCTGGTACCTGTCAGGTGTGCCAGGCTCATTAGATAAAGTCCCATGTGATGAGCCAGCACCTGAGATGCCAGCAGCCATCATGTCATGGTCTTTTATCCTGACGAGATGTGGTGGGAACAGTCGGCAGCTTCGCCTGTTCTTCACGTAGAGATTTACGGGGCCCCTGCCCCAGGCCCCGCAGCCCGGCCCCGCGGGTTGCCCATTACTGGACAAACAGCCTCTTCTGATCCTGACTTTCCATCTGCCTCTCAGTCTGTTCCTGAAAATGCTGCAGTGAAGAAAGTCTGCACTCACCTTCGTGGGAACTGGGCCATGCTGGAAGGTGAGGACGCACAGTTGGCCGCTCAGGGTGACGCCCGGCATTGGCCATGCACAGAAGCAGGTTCTAGAATGTCACCCACAGTAGGGAGCTGTGAGGATGTAGGGTGTGTGGGAGGGGTGTCCCTGTTGGGGCACCGAGGAGGTAACCCACCCCAGGCAGGAAGGCTAGGCGTGACTTAGTGTCAGGGCTCCGTGTCGGGTATCCGCGTTGGAGTAGTTGAGGTGCATGTGAACCAGTGTCACCGTCACCTCTACCCTCAGGGCTGGGTGTTGGAAGTCTCCAGATGGAGTGGGAGCCACTCCCCGTCCCCGACTGGTGGCGTTGAGTGACTCCATAATGTGTGCAGTTCCCGGCCAGGAGGTCAGGCGTGAGGACAGCCCATGGGGTCACCGAGGGTCCTCGCGGCCCAGCGCAGGTCCTAACAGGAACACCAGGCAGAGGGAAGAAGGCGGGTCACCCCCAGTAGCTGCCATGTTCCGTGAGGAGGGGTCTGTCCCGGTCGGTCAGGGCCACGCTGAGCGCCCAGTGCGGCCGCACCAGTAGGGAGTCCCATCGGAGGACCCCGCTGTCAGCCCCGGAGAAGAGGGCAGACCCTCAGTCACAGCCCCCGGCTGTTCCCTCACACCCCTCTTGGGCAGAGACTTGAAGTGACAGCGTCCGGAGGGGTGTTTGTAAGCTTGTGCTGGAATTCCAGCGCCTTCGTCCGGATGGAGAAGTCATTGCCCAGGATGCTGTACAGGGCCAGCCTGCCCCGCAGAGGCCGGTTCCTCACGGCTCCGGAGAGAGGCTGACGTGAGCAGTTGGTTCACAGGAGCAGCCAGGCAGCGTCTAGTGGACAGTGTCCTCGTGGGGACTCGGCTCGAGTCCCAGGGTTAACGTCCACCCAACTTCTGTTCACGATTGAAGGGTCGGGCGCTGACAGGGCTGCGTCCTCCCCAGCGCTGTTGGATTTGCTTGGGCCACGCCACCGAAGTGGCTGTGCAGCAGGACTGTCGGGGCGGGGGCACTAACGGGCCTGGGGCCTGCACGTCCTGAGGGTCTCCGCACGCAGGCCAGGACCACACTGTGCTGGCTTTCCTGAGAGGTTCACAGTACAGGTGTGGGGAGAGCACGGGGGAGGCGAGCTGACCCTGGAGTCACAGGGGTGGGGGACCAAGGGAGCCGGGAGGACATGACACGCGTGTGGGCACAGACGTCGGAGTTGCCACCGGCCTGTGGCGTTTCCCACCGGGCGAGGTGGTCTCAGGCACAGCCGGCTTTTGTTGTTGGCTGGAAGTGAGTCTGAGGTCCAGCCGGTGTGGTCACCTCAGAGAAGGTGCCACCAGTCCAAAGAGCTCCAGGCGGTCAGAGTCACTTCCCTGTTGCTGGGGGGCCTCAGGGCCCAGCGGATCGGCCAGAGGCAGCGAGCGCCCCACGTCACCGTCCCTCCTGGCGTGTGTTCTTGTCTCCTGCACAGGCTCTGCTGGCGCGGACGACGGCTTCGGCGGCCTCTACAAGGCCACCTTCGACAACGTGACCACGTACCTGCAGAAGAAGGAGAGGAGGCTGCAGCAGCAGCAGCAGAAGCGGCACAGGGACCCGGCCCCCGGGCCCAACGGGCAGACCAAGAGGGCGAGGGCCGGGCAGGCGTCCCGCAGCTGCCTGTGAGAAGAAAAGGGGCATCACTGTCCACTCGCGCTTGGCGGCAGTGGGGCCTGCACCAGCTCAGCGGACCCCTGGGGCTGTCCCAGCACCTGGACGGCGCCCGGGCTCCAGAAGGTCCTGTCGCTGAGCAGGGGCTTTCCTGCCAGCGTTCGGGGCAGCCTCTTGGTGCAGGAAGCTGGCGGGGCGTGAGCTTCATGGAGACCCCCGTCCTAGGCGAGCCACTCGCTGGGCGTTTTCCTCACGGGAAATCCCTGAGCCGACACATCTGTGCCAGCGTGATAGACGTTTTCATCTTGTTCCTGTCGTCTCGCCGCAGGGCCGTTGAAACCTACGCAGAATTAAGTACTTAGCTCCTCCCGCAGCCCGGCCGGCCATGTGCTCCGTCCCCACGCGAGTGGCCTCACTTTGGAGGCACAGATGCAGGCGACCCGGTGTGGAGACCTCGGCAGACAGCGCTGGTGAGAGGGACTGTTTCAGGGTGAGGATGTTGCCAGCCGGAACCTGAGTGGTGCAGGGAAGTGGCTGGGACGTTATATTTATTACCTCAATTTCAACTTTGGCATATGTCGCAAAGAGCAGGGGTGTCAGCTGAGTTCTAATCACCAATCAATAGAAGTGAGCTTTTAGCAGCTTCTGGAAACGTTCATCAGCACACGTGGAACTAATTTCAAAATGCATTAAGCAGAAGCATCTCAATGCGTGTACTGTTCGTGACCGAAATGTTCCCTTTTTGATTTGAGGAAAAGAGCTGTTTGGTGTGGGGTTTCATGGGGTACTTGGAAGCAAGTCGTTTCGTGTATCAAAAGCCGGAATACTTAGTTATTCCTAAGTGCCTTGTTTTAAACATTGGTCTGAAAGCTGCTGTTTGTGATGTGCTGGGGGTCGGGCTGGGCAAGTTCAAGAGCCCAGGCAGGTGCTGGGGTGGAAGGCGGTGCCCAGGACGGAGGGGGGGCCGGGTGGGTGTGGTACCCAGGGCAGCCTGCCCGGGCCACGGTCCTGTGGGAGGAACCTAACCTTGTTGGTGCTGGCCCAAGAGAGTGTTCTCATCAATAATCTGCTTTGAAATTCTTGGTTTTAGGAGAAATTTAGGTTTGGCCTTGTCATTGCCTTGGCTTAAGACGGCTCAGCAAACTTTTGTCTCATAGACCAAATCCTGTGAATTAATGATTTTTACAGTTTTGAATGTTTGAAGAAAACCAAAAGAAAAATAATACTTCATGATATGTGAAAATCATATGCAATTCAAATTCCAGCGTCCATTAATCAAATGTTGGGAGCGCAGCCACGCCTGTTCGTTCAGCTCTGTGGCCCATGCTACCACGGCAGAGGGCAGCTGGCCGGAGACCGTGGGCCACCGGAGTGTAAGATACGTGTTATCTGGCCCTTAAAGAAACGCTCATTGGCCCCTATTTAACATCCCTTTTAAATTTGTGTGTTTTAAGAATGAACTGGTTCATTTGGGAAAAAACCCCAAACCCTGTTCTTCCTGTGATCACATCGACCTTTCCCACCAAACGTTCACTGTGTCTCCTGGGTGGGCAGAGCAGGCCTCCTGGTCGTTCCAGCCCAAGCTGAGAGGGAGCCCGGGTGGCGGGTGCGACGGGGTGTCTAAGGTGCATCCTTTTCACCTGGTCAGGAGGCGCACACACCTGACAGGGCCGCAGCCAGGAGATCAGAGCAAAGCGTGGAGTCTGGAGGGACCATGATCAGGTGACTTGCATTCTTACCAAGGTCATACATGCACATGACAGAGACCAAGTTATACTGACCGGCTGACAGTGACAGTCCACTCTGTTCCTTTCTCCAACACCCCCTCACCCATTCCTTCTCCCCGCCTGGGCAGGTCCGTCTCCATCTGCCCCCTTAGCTGCATTTGTTCCCCTTCTGCCCAGGACAAGGGGCTTCCAGAGGATGTGGCCAGGGGAGCGCAGCAGCACCGGTGGGGTTGGGAAAGGGGGTACACTGCCCCGCCCTCTGCTGCAGTGTCCTTCCTGCCAAGAGCACCCCACATCACTGCAGCCTCCTGGGGCCCTGGTCCCACCGGTCCCAGGGGCAAAACAGCTCCTCCTTGGTGCTGAAGCCCTGTCCACACCCCTGGGAGCAGTCCTTCCTTTAAAGGCTCTGACATCTCAGGAGATGTGAGCTGTATTCCTGGGGGGACTCTGATAAACTAGCCCATACTCACATGCACCCAGTGCATCCCCGACACTCCTTTTCCGGTTGGTTTGAACCCAGACCCACATGTTGTCCTTACAGAGTTTTACATCCCTCAACTCGTCACCTGGAACAACCGTCCTCACCTCCTTCTGTGACTGACTTGTTGAGAAGGACAGGTCCACTGCCATCTCCCGATTCTCAAAGGAGTTTATTGATTTGTCACTTTCATCTGTTGCCTAATTTTATTTTTCTCCTGTTTTCCTTTTTTTTGGGGGGGAGGGTTCTAAATGTTTTACTTTGGGGGAGATTTCTTGGGCTTTGTTCCAACTCATTGATTTTTAAAAATTTTGGTTATCGTTATTTCTTAATTCTAAGCATTCTAGTTCTTTTTTCATTTTGGTTTCCACCTCAGTATACAGCTGGCAGGTGCACCTGGAGTGCACGAACTGGACACGCGTGTAACTCCCCGCCAGAAGTGGGACATTTACCCACAGCTGAGCGGTCCCCCAAGCTCCTGCCAGCCATCCACCCCCCTTCCCAGGTGAAGGCGGCCGACTCAATGCGTTTGTTTTCCTCTTGTTACTTGTGGCCTCTTTGGCTCAACTCTGGGTGAGACTCGTCTACATTGTTGCATTGGTTGCGTTGTAGATTCATTGTCACTGCTACATAGTGTTCCCGCAGGTGGAAACCCAGCCCCCCATCCAGCCATTGTTCCATCCTGTCACCCGGCACTTGAGTCCTTGCCAACTGGCTCCCGGGAACACTCTGGTCCCTGCATTTGGGGACGTAATGGGGACGTAAGGAGACATTTCAGTTGTGTCCTGAGAAGCGGAGTTGTTGGCTCACGGTCATGTTTAGCTTGGACGATGCTGCCTGTCCTTGTGAATGCTAACATTCCCACACTCAGCAAGTGAAGTTTTGATCATGTTTAATTTTGCAAAGGCACAAACTTGGAGAAGTGGGCTGGTGTGTGGGAGCCGGTGAACCTCCACCTGGCGTCCAGACTTAAACTTGATCTTGCTTTCGGCAAGGTCACCTTAAAAACAGCGTGGATCACCCACTCTCGGGGGTGGTAGCCGCAAGGTCACGCGGCCACGCAAGCAGCCTGTGAAGAGGTGGCCTCCTGCCAACAGCTGGCGACTGACGCCTGGCCTGAGCTGTCTTGGGAGAGCTGCTTTCTAACACAAACAGAATGCTCTACATTCTTCCCTGCAGCACATGTACCTCAGCCCTGTATGTGCTGACGTGTATTTTTCTTTGTAACTTCCCCTGTGATTTCTTTGATCTATGGGCTATTTGGAAATGTGGTGTAAATTCCAGACAGTTGACTGTTTTTTTTCCTTCAGATTTCTTGTGTCGCTGGTTTTAATTCTATTGTGGTCTCAGAAGATACGTTGATTTCATTCCTTTTAGATTTGTTGGACTTTGTTTAATGCTCCACAAATCCGATGGTTATTTCCCTAGAAAAAGGGGTGTGTCCTGAGTGGTTGGCTGGAGGAGTGACTGCAGGGTCAGGTCACATTGGCGACCCCGCTGGCCACTGTCGGCTCGAACACCTCCGTCTTCCTTCTTTGTGTGCACTTCTGTCACTTACTGAAAACTGTACTTAAATGTCTACTTGTGGATTTGTCTCATTGTCCGTTGTCCTAGTGGTTTGGCCTCATGGATTTAACATTCTGGTATTAGGTACACACACACTTAAGAATGTTATGTCATCTTGAGGAACGACCCCTCCTCGCCACGCAGGACCCCTTTGTCTCCAGCTCCGTTCTGTTCTGAAGTGTAGGTCACCGGAGTTAATGTAGCCACTGCAGCCTCCTTTTGATGAGTGTTAGTATGGATCTTTTCTCATTCTTTCTAATGTATGTGTGCATTTATATTTAAAGTGGGTTTTCTTTTGCAGATAGTATGCTTTTTTTATCCCCAAAGTATTGAATTTCAATGGAAATACAACCTGAGCCACGTGTGTAATTGAGAGTGTCCCAGTAGTCACTTTGAAAAGTTTTTAAAAAGCAGGTGAAATTAATTTTGAGAATACAATTCATTTACTCCAATACAGCAAAAACAGGGTGTCCACATGTAACGGCTATGAAATTATTCATGAACTGTTTTACACTCTGTTTTTAAGCCTAATTGTTCTCAGATTTGTCTCATATGTCCAGTTCCCTCTTTTCAGACACTGCCCCCAATTCGAGTGGCCTTGGTGTCTGAATCCCAGTGTCCGTCTCATGGCGGGGGCGGTCAGGCTCCGTTGGGGCTTGTCTTCCCTGAGCTGTACCCAGAGTCCCTTCCAGGCACAGGCCTTTGAGGGTGTCTGTCTTTCTCAGGGGTCACAGCCCTGCGCTGCCAGCTTCCCAGTTGGTTTGGGCGGGAGGGGGGCTCCGGATCATCGCCTCCCGTGGTCGGAAGCACAGGCCCTTGCAGTTTGAATTTATGTTTACCTTGTGATAAGTGAGCGAGGGCACCTCTTTGAACTGTCGAGTCTCCTCTGTTTTTTGGGGGGAGAGAGGCTGATTTGAAGGTGATCTTCCTGGCCCTTCATCTGTTATGTGAATTGCAAATTTTCTGTTTGACTCTTGGTGGTTTATATGTTTAATACAGACTTTTCCATAGTCAAAGGTATCCGTCTTTTTATTGATGACTTCTAGGTATCATATTATATTCAGAAAGGTTTTTCTCCACTCGCCCCACTTTGCAATGGTCTTTTTACCAAGGGGAGACAGAAGTGGGACTCAGGACAGAAACAGGCATCCCTGACATCGGGCTGCGACAGGCTGACCGGAAGCAATCGTGAGGGAAGGTAGTGCTTTTCGCGTCAAAAGCCAGTTAGTT